ATTCATATTGAGAAGAAGTCCTTTTGCACTTGGGCTTAACAGTTGATGTTACTTGACCACCAGTGGCAATGAAAACTTTAAAGGGCTGCAGAATCACATGTTGGAGCTGAACAATGCTTTTTCAGTTGCAGGAATGTTACTAGAGGAGGAAGATACACAGCTGGTAACCACTGTAACTCAATATTCCATTACCTTAGGAACAGGCAGTAGTGCTCAGAAATTATCATGCACCATTTCCATAATTAGCCTACAACATATCTGAAACTGTTACCAGGTATCAACATAAAACCTGTTTTCCTAAATGCTCATCTGTGAGTTAATCACAGACTAGAAACTGATGCATCCTGACAGCAGATTTAATGACATCATTTTCTTAAAAATGCTTAACTTACCTAATGACAGTGTCTTTGCTGTGGCAGTGGCAACTAACAGAACCATCTAGAAGGCACATATACAAACACAATTTAATTGTTGTTACCTGGACAAAGAGCATGGCATATTATACATTATGCAAAAACATTGCAAAAATTAAAATCTAGCTGAAAGAAACACTTAAAAAATACAGATATTCCTTTTATTTTCTCTGTATTTCGCAACTTACAAGCTCGGGGACGGATTTGCCCAGTGAAAGAGAGACAGCATCAAAATTCTTTCAATGTCTGCTTTTTTCCCTCAGTCTCTGGACCACTAGACCATGTCATGTCAGCTTAGTTTAACCTATAGGCTAGAGAAGTTTGATGTTTGACATATTCTCTCCTGCTAACAAATTTGAAAACCAACATTTGCCATAACCTACAAGTGAGACCATTTTGTTCATACATGCACAGAACCAGTTCAAGTCATTAAGGTGCTATGGTGCAATTTTAGGGCCAAAAAAGAAAAAACAAGCACGCATCAGTCACTGCAAAAGCTTCAGCTTGTCTCCACAAGTTTGACTTTGGTCTTTAGCCTGTATAGCAGGTGCTTCATACAGCTTTAGATATATCCTTTTAGTAGATGAAACTGGGACACTGAGATTTCATCACAGTTTTTTGGCCAAAAAAACAAGACTTCATAGAGCTGTGCCCCAGTTTAGTTGTTTCTTTGGGGATGGGTTCTTTGATAGTGTTTTAATTTGAAATCTTTCTTTCCCCACATACATATAGGTGATCACATGCAGGATCACAGGAGAAAAGAAAGGCATTGGAGTAGTTCAAGTGGCTATGACAGCAACCAAAGTAACAGCTCAAGCCAGGTGGTTTCTTGTGCACCCTTTCAGGGCTCTCATGTGAGGCAGTCAGAGCTGCCACCGCCAGCTCTGCAGAGGTGCTCTCTGCTCTGCACGCTGGTCTGGTGGGGGCTCTGACATGGCTGGAAAGAGGTCACCATGAGGATATTGCTGGAAGACGAACAGCAGGTGTAGGAAACCAACAGGGTTTACAAACTGTACTGTGTCTGCATATAGGCCATGTCTCAGGCTCAGCCAAAGAGAAATAGACACCATTTAGCAGACCTGGGCTCACTACAGGAACTTCAAAAATACCAAGATGGAATGAACCGGAAGGAAGCATTGTCTCTAGGACACTTGGGAGCTTTTAGGGTAAAGTAACAAAGATAATTTGGGTAAGGTAATAAAAATTTATTTTGGGTCTGAGATGCCCGAATTTTATGTCATTTTGGGGATCTCTGCCGGTGCTCTTCTGTCATGTTTTATACCCAGACATGACTGTAGTGCAGCAGGGGACTTTATTCCACAGTGGAACATGATGATGTGCTATTTACTTGACATACTAAAGGCGAAAGCGGCACTGCCTATGAAATTAATTCAGTTTATCAGCAGGGCAGCAGCATCTTGGCGAGTTAGTACCTGGGAGTTTAAGCATGAGAATCTAATTAAAGTGAGCAAATAACACTGGTGGCATGCACTGGCGTTCTCTGCAGAGAAGGTGGAGCAGGGGATCCCGGGGGTAGGTATGCCCCGCACAGCACAGCCTGGGCAAGCGGCCGCTGTGGTGGAAGAGTGTGGCTTGTGTCAGCGTTTGTGCCGACGCTCAGACACCCACCGAGCCCTCCCGTGCCGCTGCGCCACCAACTTCTGCGGGTGCGAGTGCCCACGGCAGAGTACTTCCACCTGGCCTCTTGCTCCTTCCTGGAGCAGGGAAGGAGGGAAAGCCTTTTCAGGCAGGTGAGTGCTCCGCCCGAAGCGCCTCCCCAATAGAATGTGCTCAGATTGGACAACAGGAGGCATTTCTTCGCAGAAAGGATTGCCAAGCATTGGAGCAGGCTGCGCAGGGAGCTGGTGGAGTCACCGTCCCTAGAGGTTTTTAAGGAAAGACTGGACGCGGCACTTGGTGCCGTGGTCTGGTTGACAAGATGGTGTTCGGTCAACGGCTGGACTCGATGATCTCAAGTCTTTTCCAACTTTAATAATGCTGCGCGCCAGGAGGCACCTGAAGCCCAGCGGGTATGAGCAGCATGGGGCCGCGGGCCCGCTTGTCCTGCACGCCTCTGGCGGTGAAGCAGCGGGTCCCCCACACCCTTCTGCCCACGCAAGGCACCAGCCCGCCCTGAGGCATCCGCTGCAGCCCCCGCGCGGCAAAAGAGGATGGCCTGAGAGTGAGCCCCGTTCTGTTGGCGCGCTTGCCGCGCTACCTGCGTGTCTGTGGCCGTGACGAGAGCCCGCCCCGCGCTCATCCGCTCGGCCCGCGGGCGTCTCGGCGGCAGTGTGTGAGGCGGCGGCGGGCGGGGGCGCGGCAGCGCCCGGCACTCTCTGCCTGCGGTCCGGGGACTTTCCCCTAGGCGGGCGCGGGGCCCATGAGGAACGGAAGTCCTCCGTGCGTGGCCTAGCGAGCAGGTCTTCAGAACATCCCAGCATTCTCAGCTGCCAATGCCCGTATATAAACCGCGGCAGGCAGGACAACTTCGAGGGCAGGGTGAGCTTTTTTTTTTTTTTTTTTTTTTTGTTTTACATTGTGTTTGCCTCCCTGTTGGTCTCCCCAGGCGATGCACAGCGGTCAGATGGCCTGGCCGTCCCCCGAAGGACGCTACGGCCGCGGAAAGCCACCGCGGAGGAACGGAGCGACGCCGGGAACGCGCTATGCAAATAGAGCGCCTCGGCCCCGCCCGAGCCGGGCGGGCGCGCCGGCCCCCCCTTGTGGCCACAGCCCGAGCGGCCGCAGGCTGCAGCGGGGAGCGGCGGCACGGCCCGCGCGGGTCCGCAGCGGCAGCGGCCAGCAGCAGCCAGCGGGCGGCTGTCCGCAAGGACCCTGCCCTACGGGCTTAGGCTGAACTAGCAGTGCCCAGAGGAAACGGGAGCCACTCTCCGATGGCTGCGATTTCCCGTACTTCCGTAGAAAAAACGGGGTCAGTTTTCCTTTCGGTTGGTTGGTTTGCCGTGTCCCCCTGAGACAACTCTGCACACCGACACTCTAAGTGCAGGTGTTCTCCCTGGCCCGTCAGCGGGGTCTGACAGCTAAAGACCAGCATCCCAGTCCCCAGAGACCAGGACAGTACCTGGAGGAGAGACACAGGATTTTAGAACTGACAGGACTGCATAAACAGCTCTTGCCACAGCCACTTCTTTCAATTTCTTTCTTCCTCTAGGGCTAATGAAATGTTAATAAATTCTCATTCAAATACTCGAATAGTGCTTATTCACTTGTATGTGAATCCGTGTGTTTAGCTGCTTTCCATGCAGAATGTGAAATAAAAATAACACGCTTCAGCTTTCAGTTTCTGTTAAGAGTAGCTACAGACTTGTTCTTTAATGATTCACAACCAAACATCAAAGAGGAATAACATTCAAAATTTTTTAAAAAGTAATTCTAAGTCAGGTCTTTTAAAAAAAGGCATCTAGCACCTCAGCCTTTTAACACAGTTGCCCTAACAGCCCCTTGAGGTCAGTGAATACTGAGAGCTTTGCTTTACAGACGAGAAACACGGGTTTTCACATTACAGCATGTGCTGCAATTCTGAACCAGAGATCCGGAGATGACCGAACTAACAGCAGAGGGCACAGGATGCAACTCCCGGCTCACAAGCACAGTCCTTACCTGTGTCTACCTGAACAGGGTAAGGACTTGAAAACAGATCTCACACTTCCCATCTTGACTACCACAGCTCCTAACCACAGCACGGAGCTTGCCCTGCGCTGGAAGCAGACACCAATTCGTGCACCAAGACGCAATTTAGCACACTGCATTCCGAACGCCAGGTGGTGCTCCAGGAATGCCAAGGGGGAACTCCTGAGAAATCTAACTAGGGCGAAGGGCGACCGAGGGCACAGAAGCACAGGGGTCAGGAGGAAGTTCTCAACCAGCCATCGGGAAGTGCGAGCGCCTTGCAGGCTTCTGGTGCTATGGACTGGACAGCCACTGCTGTTCAAAAGCACACAGGGCACAGCGTAAACGCCACTGTGGTTTAGTCCCAAAACTTACAAAAGAACTGAAAGTGGACGGACGCATGTACTACTGAGATCCCAGAAACTCCTATTCATTCCTTTAGCACTTGATCAATGGATCTGTCAGTCAAGTGTAAGGACACCACTAAATGATGCTAACTACTGTAATAGGACAAGATTAATTCAAAATAGCACTGAAGACATTATGTTTTTACAATTACATGTCATTATCCAATATACCAAAACATGCAGTTTGTGCAGGTATTTCAGCAACATTGAAAATAAAAGGTAATCTCCCACTTTGCCTCAAACTATTCTGTACAGGGAGTAAAAATGTAGCAAAGGAAGGGCTTGATTAGAATGAATGCTTTACAGTATGCTTGCTGCCTCCAGCAGACAGCAACATTTTCATTTTGCTTACCTTGGTGTTACAAAAGTTGAAATTCATATTCTACAGGTCCCCTCTATTACTTTTACAGTATTTCAGCTACACATCTAAAGAAACCAACTAATTCTTGTGGGATTACACCTTGAAGTTACTCAATGTAAAGCTTTACTGAAGGTGTTGCAATGTTATTGAAATGGCTGGAATACTTAGTAGCCAAAACCAAAATACTATAGATGCTTATCACAGAGGTTTTATTGTTTTAGTAGCAGTCAAAATATACTTAGTATAGAGATCCATGTTCATTTGGGAAAAAAAGTACCAAACAAAACTGTAAATGATACTTCACCATATAAATTAAATCTCCTTACAGTTTTGGTGGCCGAAATAGCTGTGACTTGACTGCTAATTGCTAATTTGCCAATGTGATATTAAAAGGGCTCTAACCTGATAGCATAATGTTAAATGGGATCAGGACTTCACTTATATTGCAAGTGTTATGAAAACATCCCATAAAAATAGTCAACCAACTACTTTCTCTCCTAGTATGAGCAACAGTGAACATTATGAGCAACAAGCCTGAAACACATATTTCAAATTTGATTGAAATTTTTAAACAACTTTCAATTATTCAAGTATTATGGTCCCTATGTACACACTTCTACGAGCCTAGAAAAGATATGGTAGACAATTGAGCACACTACCATCAAATTGTAAGAATTACAAAAACGTCAGGTTTTAAACAGCAAATTGTACCTTAATATTTAATTAAAAATAGAAGAGTTAGGTAGACTATTTTGCAAATACAACAGCACACTAGCGTGCTGTATATTAAGGCAATACCTTTAAATGCGCACTTGTCATCTCTAACAAGTTTTATACAATTGCTACCAAGTGAAAGAACTATCATTGTCTTGCAAAACTGAGAAAGAAATACAAAATATCTGGAAGCCTACATTTTCAAAGTACAAAATTAACCTTCAGTCCTTGTGTTGAAATACTATACAGAGTACAAACAGTGATTCTCCCCTACAAGATCTCACGAGGATTTCTTAAAGCTGGAGGCAAATTTGAAGGTTTTGACTCTTCATCCAGAAGCACCAAATCTTCAATTTCACTACCTTTGTATTTTCTTTTACATATCTTCACAATAACTTTCTTCTTGAGGAATAATTTCAAAGCTTCTCTTGAAGCCACTGCTTTGGCATTTTCCATACTTTTACCACAGCCAGTACCCAAGTAGACAGACTTGCACCTCAGTTCGCAAACGATATTTTCTAGAGAGCTTTTATTTTGAGGCAAGTCTGCAAGTTCCTTCAGGGGAACAAAAGCAACATCTAACGTAGCTTTTACAGACTGAATAGATGAATTTAGAAGTTCTGCATGATTTACATTAGGACTGAAGCCTCCAACAGCAACCAGTTTCCAGGCTACAGCTTTGTAGAGTCTGTTGAAAAAAGGCTGTCTTTCCTTTGCATCTTCGCTGGTTAGGGGTTTGCACAAAGCCTTCGCAGGGCTTTCAGCTGCCTGCGAGCCACTCTTGGAGGCCAGCAGGGAAGCACCTGCCTGAGCTCCACCCCGGGAGGGCCCCTGCTGAGCTCCGCTCCGAGCGGCCAGCAGCGAAGCCGCCACCTGAGCGCTGCTCTTGGAAGCGAGCAGCGAGGAGCCCGGCTGCGCACCACTCCGAGCGGCCAGCAGCGAGGCGGCCACCTCCGCGCTGCTCTTAGAGGCCAGCAGCGGGGAGCCCACCTTAGCCGGGCCTTTGGAAGCCAGCAGCAGCGAGGTGCCCACCTGAGCAGCGCTCTTGGAGGCCAGAAGCAGCGAGCTGCTCATCTGAGCACCGTTCTTGGACACCGGTGCTGGGGCACCCACCTGGGTTTTGGAAGACAGCAATGCAGCACTTGTTTGGGGGGTGCTCTTGGTGGTCACTGGCACCGCTGCTGCCTGTGGGGTGCTCTTGGTGGTCACTGGCACTGCTGCTGCCACCGCTGCTGCCTGTGGGGTGCTCTTGGAGGTTGATGGCACTGCTGCTGCCACCGCTGCTGCCTGTGGGGTGCTCTTGGCAGCTGGTGGCACTGCTGCCTCCACTGCTGCTGCCTGAGGGGTGCCCTCGGCAGCCAGTGGTGCTACACTTACTGTAGTTTTCTTTTCGGGTGATGGCACACTTTCACACTTGCTTTCCTTAGGTGGGCTTGAGCAAGGCTTCTTTCCTGGCTCTTTTTCAGATGAAGGTGGCTTTTGCTCAGCAGTACTCTCAGCATTAGCAGGTTTTCCTTCTGTTTCTCTGTCTAAGACTATGACCATTTCTTGATCTGAACTGCAAGTTGACTGGGAAGTTTCTGGATCTTTGCTAGTACCTTTTTCCTGCTTTTTGGGCAAGATGCTCTCTGTTTCCTTCACTCCTTCTGCCTTCGTTGTTTTCACATCCTTTCCAACATCCTTAGAGTCTCTGCTTTTCTCCACAGCTTGTCTCTTGCAGGGCTCCTCTACCCCTTCTGCAAAACAGGTAAAATATGTGATCCTCTTTGATTTCTGCACTATCAAATAACCATGTAGAGAAAAATCAACTAAAACCTTCTAGCAATATTCTCTGTGAATTTAAAGGGTATATATTAGCAATACACCTTGAACCGTCATTTCAAGTATTAACCCACTATTTCAGAATTTTGAGGTTTTTTGGATAAAATCCGGACAATACTCATGCGAGATTTCAGATGTTGGTTTGGACCCAAGTATATATTTCTATTCTTGAAGTCCAAACCAAAACTGGCCAACATACATTAAATGGGTTATCTGATCTAAAAATAAAGGAAGCTTATTTTGTCTACTAATATCACAAAATATCTTTAAAACATTAGTCTGAGAATTACTTTAAGAAACTCAGTTTTCTTACACAGCAACAACATCTGACTGGCAACAAAGGCAAAGTAACAAGAACATATTTAAGCTGGAGCACAGCAGCCCATATTACAACACACAAGTTATCAGATTAAAGTGCACCAGCTGCAGAAATTCAAAACAACCACTCTACATTACCAAATGACTATGTACGCATTATGTGCATTTTAGAGACATTATATTAGAAAAAGAATAGCAGAGAGAGGAGACTAATAGCGGGAGTTTAAAAAGTAAATTATTTTGACTACTTTCTAAGCCCGAGGCAAACCGAGAACATTCAGAAACAAGCATTTTCTAGACTCCTATGTATTGTCACAGCTATGATCTGCTAACCATTGCTACTTGATATGCCTCTTTTCTTCACCTTGGCAACCAGTTCGTCTCTCGTGGTGCGGACAGGCGCGTTGGTCACTTGGATGCCTTCGGCCATTTCCATCGCCCTCTCCATGACCTGCGGCGGGTACCTGGAGGGGCGACAAGAGCAAACGAGGGAAGGGGCCTCGTCAGACGGCCGCGCCGCGCCGTCCCGCCGTCCCCCGGCGCGTCCCGCTGAACTCACCGGCATCCCAGGAAGACGTGGTTGGCCCACACCATGGAGAGGGACACCAGCCGCTGCAGCTGGGCGCTGCCCGCCGCCGGCAGCTCCCCCACGTTGCGCAGCAGGAACTCCCGGCGGTACCGCCAGTGGTGCTCAGGCTCGCAGGCCCCGCGCAGCGTGTCCGCCCAGGCCGCCTCCTCCGCCGTCCGCCCCAGGGGCTCGCCCGCCGCCGCCTTCCCCGCCATCGCCGCCCCGCGGAAACACCCACCCCGCTGCTTCCGCCCGGCGCGCCGTGAGCTCACATCCGCGTGGGCCGGGCCGGGCGGGAAGGGAAGCGAAGCGGGCGGGTTGGGCCTTGAACCGGAACCGGCTGTGGCCCGTCGGACCCGCGCGTCCCCGGGAGCCGGCGGAAAGAGGGGCCCTCTGGGCTTGGCTACCGGCTCTACTTTGTGATGATGAAAGCGTGAACAAAAGTTCTGCTTTACGGGTTGGTTTCTTCCAAGCTTGCTGAGGTCGGAGTTCGTGGGGGACCAGTTGGTGTTTTACCTCAGAATCACGGAATCCCTTAGGCTGTAAAAGTCCTCTGAAATCATGGACTCCAACCTCTGACCGAACACCGCTTTGTTACTTAGACCACGGCATAAGTGCCATGTCCATCTTCTTTTATACATCTCCCAGGGATGGTGACTCCTCCACCTCCCTGGGCAGCCTGTTCCAATGCTTCACAACCTTTTCTGTGAAGAGATTCCTCCTAATGTTCAACCTAAACCTCCCCTGATTCAGCTTAAGACTGTGTCTTTTAATCCTGTCACTGGTTGCCTGGGAGAAGAGGCTGATCCCCATCTGGCTACAGCCTCCTTTCAGGTAACTGTAGGAGACATAGGTAGTTGTTGGAGCCATAAGGTTTCCCCTGAGCTTCTGTTCTTCTAAACAACCCCTGCTCCTTCAGCCGCCTCTTGTGCTCCAGACCTTTCATCAGCTTCATTTCACTTCTGTGGCCTTGCTCCATCACCTCAATGTCCTTCCTGCATTGAGTGGCCATAACTGGACACAGCAGTTGAGGTGTGGCTTCACCAGTGCTGAGTACAAAAGGGCAATCCTTTCCCTATTCCTGCTGGCTGCACTGCTTCTGGACCAGGCCAGAATGCCGCTGGTCTTCTTGGCCACCTGAGCAAACTGTTGGCTATGTGCTGCTGATTCATGTTCCACCAGTACCCTCAGATCATCTTCCACTGGTGAAAGGAAAAGGACCTTCAGGTCCTTTCCCCCTTTCCTCCTCAGTGTTGTCCATACAATCGGATTTGTTACCTCGTGTGCAACAGGATAGTAATTGCATACTCAAGAGAAACAATGATTATTTCAGAGTTGCACAAGCCTGGGTGCTCAGTGGTATTCCACAAATCAAGTATGCTCCTCTGGACTTTCTGTGCCGTTATTGCTACACGGAAGTTTGGAGTTAGTTACTTTCCAAGGGTAGCCCCTCTGTTATGGTTGGTTAGTAATTTCCATACAAGTTGTGTAACCCCAGCTAACTTTTATCCAGTGCTCTGGGGAGGGGTCTTCACCTGGGCAGGGGTATTTTGACCTATAGGCATGAATTTTAATATTATATGAGGATAGTTTAGGTGTAGGATATGTGGACCTTGAGTACTTGCCAAGTTAGCAATGTGTACATGGATGTACAAAGGATGCTAGCTGCTGCCTGTTCCCCTGATTAGGTGTCCTTTCCTGCTGGCTTGCACCAAAGACTTATCCTGACTTAAAATAATATTGACATATTCCAAGTTTTACAACATTGGCATGTGACAAAAAGGTAGTGACAAGGACATTGGTTGTTGTAGCATTTTTGAAGAAGCATTAAATGAGGACTGCTGGCACAAAGGGTTCAGCTAATTACTCTTGCAGCTCTGTAGGTTGTTTTTAGTTTGCAAAATATTACTCCAGAATTTGATCCAAGACCATCTGAACAATTCTCTGTGAAAAAGTAATAAGCACACTGTGAAAATATCACAAGCTTCAGTCTGCCAAGACAGGGCTTGCTGAATTAGTGCAAAAGAGGAAAGAATTTTGAATTCCAAAGGGCTGTCCCTGGGGAGCTGTATTGATTTTTCCTCCTGAATTAAAAGTCCGGGTTTGCTTAAGTTTTCAGTTTTTAACACCTAACATGTCATCTTGAACTGAACTACAGGATAGATTGTATTGAAGGAAGGAGTATTTCTCCTTAATGACTTAGAGGTCTTATTTTGTGGAAATGATTATGTAGTGGTTTAACTAAGAGTACCTCTACAGAGCAAAAACTAAGGGATTAAGGAAATGAACTCAGAAAAGAAAAAGAAGTCCAATGCACTTTTGCTCTTTATCCATTGTTAGAATTGAAATGTTTTTCCTTGCTTTCCTGGTTAGGCCACACAATGTTATCTTGTGCATTGGCAAGAATAGTTCAGTGACAGGGAGCAAGGGAACAGTAATGAAAAGGATGGGGCTGACAGGAAGAGAAGGGCAGAAAATTTGTACCCTCTCTGCTGTGGGTGTCTTGGAGGAATGGATTTGTTACAAAACAGTGTCAGAAAGTTTAGAAACTGTGGTCACCACATTGGTTTTCAGGCATTAGTTGTATCAGTCCCACGCGTGGTTATCTTGCAATATAGGCTCAAATACAGAAAGGGCATGATCTGTCACATGAGGGTTTCTGCTTAGAGGTGAGGTGGGCCTGTCTCCTAGACCTCTGAGTCTGTGAACCACAGTTCTTGACTTCATGGTCCATACAGACCTTAGAAGGGAAGGGTAAATGGAATCCTTGGCAAACATAGGTCTAAGTTTGCACCTCAGCCAAGATCATCCATTCTGCCAGCCTGTTTGTTTATGCTCTTCAGTGAACCAGTTTGCTTTCTAATGAAGCTGGTTGAGATCTGCCCCTCAGAGACAGCAGGAATTCAACCAAGCCTGAGCGGCTGCAGCAGAATTGTCCGTACTCTTGCAGAGGAAGAGGAGAAAGCAGTGCAGGCAAGAATGTCCCATCCTCTTCCAACAAGCATCTGAGTTGCCAAGTGGACTAAGGACTAGTCCATGTTGAGCTGCTCATACACTAGTCAAGAGTGGGAGCTGGGGAGGGTTAGATTCCACAGGATGGTGATAGGAACATTCATACACTCAGAGGGATCTCCAGAAGTCATATTCTGGTGTTGCTGGGTTAATGACAGCCAAACCACAGAGACAGGACTCCACACCTCAGGGCTTTGTGAGTGCTTCCACTCATCCCGTGTGCATAAGATTGTATGGACTCACCTGTGAGTTCTGGGCTCCTACAATAGAATTGTTCTAGGAAGTGTTGGAGAATCAGCACATTATCTGGTCCTAGAGTGGCTAAAGGACTGATTAAAGAACTTCCTCTTGCCCAGTTTTAGAGGACCAATTAACTGAGAGCCATTTCACCTCTTTGCCCACTGACTATATGTGTGAACACAAGTAATGGTGACATCTGGAGAAAAATCAGGAACAGTTTTGCACACATGTAGGACGGCTCACAACAGTTTTGGTTGTAGTGAACTTCTCTGGTCTGATACCTTTCTGTAGCTTTATGCTTTAATTTTGGGTTAGTTTTCTCTGGTGTTACTGCTGCATCAATGTATTGTTGCTAGTACAAAGATGACTTAAGAAAATGAGCCTTTCGTCTTCCCTACCTGTTTTTTTTTTTTTTCCAGTCATTTTCTTTCTACTTTATTAATGTGTGTTTGAATCACACTGGAAACAGGAAAAATCCTACTCCTGGAGTATGGGATGATGTGCACAGACAAGCATACAAGTACTGTATACCTGCAGTACTCTGTGAGGACTAAGAGATATACTGTCTCAGGTTGATAAGTGTGTGTATTAGAAAAGAGAGAAAAACACTGCTGTTAATTTTGAAAAACAAAACAGGTACTATTTTCATTCTCACCAGGAAAGGCAATTTTGAAGTTAAACACCTCACTGATGGTGTTAATGCTGTGCATTTAATTTTCAACATTGGAAGAAAAGAGATGGTTTTGTTCCCACTAGGGAAGGAACTTCTAAATGCCACGTCGATAGCAGTGTTGTTAAGAGTCATTTGGGGTTTGATAATAGCTGCTTTTGGCAAGATACAACAAAAATCTCAAGGTGAATCATACCAGTGTCTATAAATCACAGTGTTGCACCTGCACTTCTTGTATAATAAGTTTATTTGTGCCTTTATAAACCAGTGAATTATTATTTCTTCAAAGTCAAGTCCCACTGAAACATAGAGGGCAGTATCTCCCATTGAGTTCAATTATGTTCTGTGCAGTTAAGTTTAATATATAGTGACATTCCCTACTCAAGTTAATATGTGAACTGTGCCCTTAACATCACACAAAGCAAAGAGAGCTCGGAGTTATTGCCACAGAAAGGCAGTAACAGTGCAGTCTTACTGGCCTGGCACAGTAAATCCCCTGAACACCATCTTTGGTTGGTCCCTGCTATAAGTAATAAGTAAACTACTGGAGAGCTCTGGCTTAAGCTCATTAGAAATGCAGTTTGAAGAACTGTTGTTGAAGAGTTTTGCCATTTCCTGATATCATGTTACGTGTTCTGCTAGAGCAGGTCATTGAAGTTCTCCTACCCAAGCAGCAGACAGCACTTCCACAGAGAGGTGTCTGTACGTGCCAAAGTATCCAGCAGTCATTACTGTTCAGTAAATTAATCCTTGGAATAAAATAAATTATTTGCTAGAAGAGCATTAATTACTATCTAGGCTTGTCAATGGAAACTAGAGTAGATCTGGTTTTTTGTTTCACTACAGTCATGCAGCTGTTCTTACACTACTGTAAGCAGCTCTGGATTACAAAATCATCCACTCTCCTGAGATTGCTCAGCTGAGGAAAATGTATTGAGTAATTACAAAGTATAAAAACTAAGGGTGAAAATGAAGGTAAATCATAATAATTTTCCTTTACACATACATGCTCTTATTACTAACTTAAATACTATTTTGCATTTAGTAATACATTATACTTTACATATATAACTGCCTACAATAGGGTTGTCAGTTGTTGTTCTTTAAATAAGTTTGTTAAACTTTAACTACAGCTAAAGGTAGCGTATCAATTGCTAAATTTTTCTTGCTAAACTATGCCTTAGGTAACATGCCACTTTCTAAAAGTCCACTGCTTGGCATGACATTTTCCTTACTGAGGATGGAAGTTTAGGATGTCTTTACTACTACCAAATATGATCTAAGAAAAAAGGGCTTTTTCTAGGGTAAATTATTGTGGAGG